CTCTGGCAGGCCCTGCCCTGACGCTGTTCTTGTGGGGATGCGCTCCGGCCAGCTCTCCTGTGCGCTTTCTTCGGCTCAGAGTTGTGTCTCGGCGAATTGCTCTTCCGGACCGCGTCAGGAGACTCCTTAGGGGTGTGTCGCAAGGAACCTGGGAGTTTCTTTTCTCCCTCTTTGCAGGCTTTGAAAACTCTTGTAGGGAGCAGTGGTTCATGATGTGAGAAGATGGCAAGTGAATCCTGTCTCCCTGTGAGCGGGGTTGACAGTGCGCGGCAGGCTTTTCCTACCTGCTGGATTGGTGACTCTCAAACCAAACTTCCAGGTAAGAAATTGTTCCCGCTTCTCACTTAAATCAGCCTTAGGTAGGGTGAAAGGAGAGAAAGAAAACCGAGTTTAGGCTGCGTGTTGTGTGCAGCAGCAGACAGGGGACAGTACACATGTGTGATTGAAAACATTTTTGCTGTTCCGGATAATGTCTGGAGAAGTGTGTGAGAAAAAGTAGAATGTGATCTGAACCGCACAATTAATTGGGAATAGGATGTAATTAATTTCACCACAGTGCTACTGGAAACGGCAGGGAAGGGAAAATTTGGTATATATAGCTGTGTATATCAAGTACTGTGGAAGAGAGGTAATGAGTATTTATGCTCATGGCTGTTACGTCACAAACCTCACAATGGTGTATAAACAAGTAGAAAAACCGGTGATGTCAGTCCTCTTAAATGCAATGTAAGAAGCTCGGAAGCCAACTCCTGTTATCTGCAACTCTTGTAAAATAGTTACCGTGGCCTTTTAGGTCCAAAGGCTGTTTGTTCTTGCATGTCTTTGTGAAAGTACTGATACTCACAGGAGCATCCGTGGATGGCTGGTGAAGTTTGTGGGTGCTTTTCCTTTTTTTTTTTTTTTTTTTTTTTTTTTTTTTGTTTTTTTTGGTACCTGAAGTATAATAACTGTGTTCCTGTAGTTAATGCTGATGACAGTATTTTGATGATAGTGTACTGTAAGTCAGAAAGGAACTGCTGTTCAAAAGTTTTAGACCCTCAGTGCAGAGTTTCATGTGATGCAGTCAATACTACTATTTCTTTTAGTATTTTTGCCAGGGAAGAAGCTTTTCTTTTTTACGGTTAGGTGAAACTAAGCTATATGGGATTTGAAATGTGAAGTCTGAAAGAAACTTCCTGATTCTCAACTCTTAGCTGTAGTGTTGCTGTTAACCTCTGCAATATCGATTTATGGCTTCAGAATAATATGAAGCCATCTTTGAGAATGTAGGAAGTCTTTATGGTAATAATTAGGATTGGGGGGGAGATCATAAACCAGTCTGACCTTCATAATTTCTGTGAATGTGTCTAATTCTAATTCAGCTGTGATTTAGAAAAACAGATTGATCTTTTGCAAAAACAGATGTTTTGCTGTGTGCTGATACATTCCTTGGAAGCAGTTATGTCCCTGTTTTGAAAGCAGAGTGACAGTGGAAATGTGTGTACTAGGGCTATTGGCATGTGGTTTGTTTTTTTTTTTTTTTTTTTTTGAACGGTATTAAGCTTCTAATTTAAATTGATGCAGAAAAACAATGTAATAAGTTCTGCTGTAGTATAACTAGGATGATATTTTTACTTTTACTTCATTTCAATTTCCTTATGTAAGAATTTTTTTGGACTGAAACTGGCAGTGAAACCTTGCTTTTCTAGTAGGTTATAGAAACATTTGAGCCTTAGTTTGTCCTAAAATACATTCTCATTAAATTTTTACCATAAACTTTGTTAGCTTGCAAATTGTCTCAAGTTTTGACAGGTAAGGATTTCTTTCTGTTTTTCTTCCATGTAAAAGCTATTTCAGTGTGCTTTTTTTTTTTCTCTACTTTTCCCTCTCCTCTCACAAAATCAGCCACATCTCTATCTTTTCAGTAATGCAGTTTGGTTTCTAGTACAAATGATGCTGCATTCATTTGTTTTATATTAGATTAAAAGACTGGGACATGAGTCAGTATGAGATGTATTGTGGCTCATCATATTGGAAAGCTGCTGTTGGAAGTAATGGGCATTGAGATGCGAAAGTGAAGTGTAATATGCTGACTGAGAATTGCAAGGCCTTGTCTTAGGATTGTGATCTATAGAGATTTGTGCAGAACACTGGTGGCACCTTGTGTGCAAAGTGTATTTGAATATGGAGGTGCAAAAAGTGGGTGTTTGACTGTGAGAGCAGTACTCGTGGACTGCCCATTCCCCGTGTCCTCTTGGACAGAAGAAGTGGGCAAGGTGGAATTACCCGCGGTCAGAACGCAGCCCGTGGACTGCCAGTTGTATCATTCGTTTGACATCAAAGGGCTTGATGTTATCCAAATTTTCAGTGATTTCTCTAGTTTAAAAAGAAAACAAAACCTGCCTTACAGGAAGCGGTTTGCATCTGTGGAATTTGACTTTGCATTGTGTAAAGATTATAGATCTTGGGCTTTTTCTTTTCCTGCAATATTTTGTGTGATTAACCCAACAGCACTAAAAATCGGGTTTAGCTGTGGTCTGGTTTAGGTGGAATAGTTTTAATGGTAAATGTTTGAAATTTTTTTATATAATTTTTTTATATACACATCAGCTGATAGAAGGCTTTCATATAGTATTCCCTGAAGAATTTTGCCTTTCAGTAGTATGAAAATTTCAAGGTTCTGCGTACAGGGGAGGATTCATTGTGTCTATGAAAGCTCTTGTACATGTAGATACTGAAATACTGGTTGTTTTTCACATCCTGCTCTTGAAGCATGTTTGGTTTGATGAGACAGGGAATTTTTAGTTGGATTATTGTTGCTCTGCAGTGAATCTTCTGTGTTCTGAAGCCATTGTTAATTTTAGCGCTTGAAAAAATTAATGCTAACTTACTACTAATGTAATTAATCTCCCTGAAATAAGTCCTACTGTTCTAACTGAATATTCTCAAAGGAGTTGAGCATCATTTAATTACACTTACTTTTCAAAGTTGTTTCAGGTGTCCCAGTGTATAAAAATACCCAGTTGCTTTGAAAGCTTCTCCTTGAACATTATATTCACAATAAAATTGTTTAGGAACTAGATGACACTTCTGGGAGGAAAGTGTTGACAACTACCTTGGTGGTAAATAAGTTTTCAAACCTTTAACGTAGGTTGTTCATAGAACATTTTTAAACGTCAGTTCGGTTCATGTAGTAACTTCTTTGCAGCTCCACTGAGGACTTAAAACTACTTTAGCAATTACAGAGGATAACAAAGCAGGATACTGGAAAGGAACTAGTCTAATTGATATCCAGCGTAAAGCTGTGTGCATCTACATTTACATGTATGCGTACAAAGTGTTATATGTGCTGCAGCAAGGTGGGTGTAGTTGGCACGAGAGGATTTTTTTTTTGCTATTTGGTATTAGCCTTCCCTGCAGAACACTGTTTGAAAAAACCCTGAAGCTTTCAGATAGGTCGTATTACTGCATCTGCCTCCCTGGCCACGTGGAAATAGGTTATGTTCGAAAACATCCCCTGTTGTATCTGGGAGAATGCTGTGACACACTACTACTTTGATGGTTTCATGAACATCACTAACGTCATACCTGACTATCCAGGCACACCTCTCTAATGCTTGTCTTGAGACAGGCTGGGCAATAGGTGGTTATAAAAAGCAATTAACAGGTGTCTTGGGTTTGTTAAACTAAAATGAGGTGGGGAAAAAAAAGATGATACTTGCTTGGGGAGAGCAATGACTTGGCTAAAAATACCTAATTTTTTTTTTTTTAAGAAATCAGTAGGAAAAACTTGAGTATGATGTAGAAATTATCACAGCTTCATTCTAGATAAGCGATTCTTTTCTGAAGAGGGGAGTGTGTGTGATTTGTGGGTTTTTTTGGTTTTTGTTGTTGTTGGGGTGCTTTTTTGGGGGGAAACCCATTATACGTAGGTAACGGCTGGTTTTTAAGGGTAATGTCAGCTGCGGAATCCGTTCGTTTACCCAAGTGAAATGAACAGTCTAAGGATTTTGTGTTCATTCTTGTCATCTTTTGATTCTGGGCATGTTGATTTTCATGTTCTTTTTCCTAAAACTGGGAAACTTTTTCTGTTTTGCAGTTGGTGTAATCAGATGTCCGATATGCCGCCAAGAATGCAGACAAATAGATCTGGTGGATAACTACTTTGTAAAAGACACATCAGAAACACCAAGCAGCTCCGATGAGAAGTCAGAACAGGTATGGCACTCCCCTGCTCTCTGGAAGTCACATGCTGGTTTTGTTTCTGTACATGTTAATGCTTTCCAGGAAATTGATAACTGACCGTTTCCCTTTGCAGGTGTGTACAAGCTGTGAAGATAATGCCAGTGCTGTTGGATTTTGTGTAGAGTGTGGGGAATGGTTGTGCAAGACTTGCATAGAAGCTCATCAGCGAGTAAAATTTACTAAAGATCATATGATCAGAAAAAAAGAGGATGTATCTTCAGGTGAGTGGATATCACTTAGTCCTGCCTGTAGTAAAAACGTTTTCTCTTTCGGCACACGTACAAAGAGAGTGGGAGGATTGTTTAGGTAACAACCAGCTGTATGGCTTTCCCCAAAGATTTGGGAAAAGTTTAGTAAAAAGCTACCAGTGCAAAATTGGTAGCTCTAAAAATAGAGGAAAAACTAAATTTTAAGCTAAAATGGGTTATTTGCTAATACTTTGTGCAGTTTGATGTCCAATGTAAAAAATACCTTAAGTACAGAAGAAACAGAATGAGACTGCAGTCTTTGGAAAGAATTTAGATCCATTCTTAATAATTCTTTTATTTAGTAGAATAACCTAAATGGAGGGCTTGATATCTGGAGAGCGCTGACATACTGGTAGTCTTATCCATTGGCCAAGGAAATTAAATTATACATTTTGCCGTACTTGGTTATAAGGAGCAATTATAGTTCTCCCAGTAGAGAAGTATATACAGATAAGCTTATAGTCATATTCAATATGATGTTACTGTTGTATTGATATTGCTGAGTAAATATGGAATTTGAATTTATTTTAGATTTGATACCTCTTTCAGTTAGCAAAATTTAGTGTGCAAAGTTTGTGTACAGTTTGTTTAGACATGGAGCTTTATTAGAAGTTAATTCTTAAACTAGCATTTGACCACATATCGTTTGTAACCTACTGAGGTAATGTGGAAAACATTCTCAGTACACGTAAAAGGTAACTGGATTTTAGCTTAGAAGATTTTATTTCTAATGGGATAAAAGTTCCGATTTAAAGACCCATATGTTCTACACAATCTGGATGTATATGAAGACTGATCATACCAAGGAAGAGAGATCTTGACATTTTGCGCTCTCTCTACATTTAGAATAAAGATCTTCATGATTGTTCGTTGTGCCATTTCAAAGGAGTAACACTGCTTTGCTTTCTGCCAACTCTCGTCCAAATCATATTAATAGTTAAAAAGTTTGCTATTGAGCTTAGTTCTTTTAGACAATGATCTTATTTCACTTGCTCTATCAAATAAACTTAATTTTTGGAGAGGTTTCTCTGTGTCTTAATGGGTATTGTTTAATAAGAAATATTACCTCTTTAAACGTATTAATCCTAGTAGACGAGAAACCCTTGAGGTGAAATCAAATTACAGGTCTCTACAAAGAATTACTGATGTTTTTCATTAGGAGTGCTGTATTGTGACTGCGAAGGTGATACTATAGCTCCCCTTCCCCTTTAATAACCTGAGTGGGGAGGTGCTGAAAAATGGCTTCTCCAATAAAGTAAACTTTCTGTCAGAAATTCAGGTTGGTGTTTGTGAAGATGGAAGCCCATGTGTAGTAGGTATGCTAGCATATGGCAAGAACGTAGCCTGCCTTTGACCTGATGTACAGCAATCCTTAGTAACTCTCTTGATTGCAGGGAATGACTATTCATTATTTTCTCAGGGGAGCTTGTTCCCTTCTTTCTTGTTAGACTCTTTAAGATACGCCCTGGAGACTTTAAATTTCTATTAATGAGTGTCAGCTGTAGATTCATGAACTCTCTTTCTTTACAATAACTTGCATGATATAACAAGCTTCAGAAATGTTGGAGACTGAGGAAGACATTCATGTTTTAAACCTTACCTGCTGTATCTTCCAAAGGCTGCTTTCCTCTGTGCTAAGCTCAAAATATCTTTAGAAGACTGTGCAGCACTTTTTAGTAAACTCAGAACTATTCTTTGACGTTACCTGTTATTTGCTTAAGTGGAAGAGTTAAGCAGTTTAGCTGGGGTTTAAGTAACTCTTAACACGGGCAATGTTTGCTTTGCATTTACCACTTCAGTTGCATATGACTTAATGAGGTTTATAAAGGTTTTGAAGTGGTGATTTAGAAAACCTCTGGGTGTTTGACAGCATAAAAGTTTGTGCGGTTTGATCCACCCTTCAGTGTGTCAGAGGTGCAATTGCACGCAATTTAATCTTTAAACACAACTTTTAAATGATCCTGGTGTTTGTGTACAGTTTTTACATTCTTACAGGTGCCAGTGTCTTTTGAGTGTTTGTGATAGGAGAGGAATTCCTCCTTCGCTTTGAACACACTGAAGCAGAAACAGCTATAAACCACTGGCACTGTGAATATTTCAATGAGAACGTATTCACGGTAACTTTAGGGTGAGAACAGGTCTGTAGCTGTCTTTGTCCAAATTCTTGGTTGTTACTTAGCTTGGAAGTTGGTAGATTTGCTCTTCAGATTGTCTAAATTTTATTTTAAAATGCAAAAATGGTTTATTTTTAAAAACAGAGGCCGTGGGAGCATCTGGTCAACGTCCTGTTTTCTGTCCTGTCCACAAACAAGAGCAGTTAAAACTTTTCTGTGAAACATGTGACAGGCTGACATGCAGAGACTGTCAGTTACTGGAACACAAAGAACACAGGTACAATTATTCCCATGTCTTAATTCCTGTGGTGCGCTTTCTCAGAGGATGAAATGGCATTGATTTAAAACAGCTGTGTCATTAAATACTGTTGTGTTTACTCTTTGTCGGACTGAAATGATCCCTTGCAAAGGAGAACCTGTGTGGAGTGCTGAAAACTTTAAGTGATCAGTTGGTTGAGCTTTGTGGAGTACCTTAAGAGCAGATTCAGAACAACATGGTGCGAGGTGATGTGGTGTGATTAAGGTGTTAACTTGCCTGGCATTTACCAGTGCTGTCACTCTGTTCAGGACTTGAATAGAAATTGCTACAGCCCTGAACACCTGCTGCTGTAAGGAAGCAACAGTGATGCAGTGAGTCATGGATGAGGTAATTCTTTGAAAGGGCATATTTTATTATGCAACAGTCTTTCAATTTAGGGTAATTTTGTAAAGGAAGGTATAAATTTTGCCTCATAGATGAATATATTTTTCTAGTACAGAGGGAAAAAAATGTTTGGTTTTAGTTGGTTGAAAGTTTCCTCATTCCAAGTAAAAAGAAATTATGGGTTTTGTCTCCGGAGCTTGCTTTTCTCTTAGCTGCTAGAAAAAAGTTGGAACCTGTTAAGATACCTTAAAACTTCCTGCTCTTTAGCAGCAATGTCATATAGTTGTTTGAATGTTTGAAAAAGTATTTTGCAGTGTTATAATAGAGAATCTGGGAATAAATATGTATTTGTCAGCCACTGCAACACTGCTTTTCCTAGTCAGTCTACAAGTAACGTTTCTCTGTAAAGGTGCTTGACAGTGCGTTGCAATATTGAATTTAGTGGTTTTTTTCCAGAGTAGTGATTACTCTCACAGACTGCTACAGCAGCCTAATGGAGAGCTTTTACTTTTGAAATTAGTTCTATTAAAATATTAACCACCTCAAATATTCCTGCTCTGTTCTTTCATAGGCTTGATCATAAATATCCTGAAAGACATGCTTGTCCAGAACGCGTGGTCTCCTAGGATATGTTAACTAACTTTTTCTAGTCTGTTTCTTTGCATCTGTTTTGCGCATGATGCTAACTGATTAACAGATGTATCTTGTTCTACTTACCTGTTCTCTTCCAGTAAGAGAATACTTTGCTATTAACATGCTTTGTTGCAGAATATTCTTTAAAAATTGTTCTGTCTGCAGATGGGAATTGCAGATGGTTAGGGCGACTGCTTCGTCCACCATGAAGTACAACTGAGATTTTTATGAAACTCATTAAATCATTGAAGGAAAATCCTGTCAAGTGGAAACAAGAATTGATTTTAATCTCCTGTTTACTTCTTACCTGAAATCCTAATAGTTTGCACCAAAGGAGGGTGAATCACCATTTCAGGAGCAACATGGTCCAGTGTTCAGTTCAGAATTTCAAGTGAAAGAATTGCTGGCGATTTTGTAGAAAGCTGACATTCTTGTAGCAGCCTAATGGTGTGCGATTCCTCTAGTTTAGGTAGTTTTCAGTCCGCTCACTTCGGAAGCTAGAAATACAATACAGTATTTTTAAAAAAAAAAAAAAAAGGTATTTTGGCTGTAGCAGGAGTTAGAGCAAAATTTTAGCAGTACTAGGTAAGTGTAGATACATTTTTTTTTTCTCTCCTTAAAGTGGAAATCTGATTTTTCAACTTAATGAAAATAGCTTTAGAAAATCTGCAGATCTCCAAACATTTCAAATTTTGTTGCCCTTGGCTTTAGTATTGCTACTGTTTTGCATTATAATACCTAAAATCTTGTGATACTGTCTGTCTGCAAGAACTTCAGGCTGTTCTTAGAAGAAGCCACATTCTAACATTGAGACTGAGGAATGTAAACTCTTGTAGTTGAAACTTGTCCATTGCTGGTACAAACTGAATGGACAGGAGCAGAGGTGAACAGTGTTCTCTTGCCTAAGTCTCTTATCATCATTGTGAGTAATTTGAATCAAGAAACAGTGTTACTGTAAATTTGGTCATAGATTCAGAGTCTTCTACTGTTACATTAGCTTGTAATGTTCTCCTAGATTTTGATGAAAGACAATGCTACTTTCTTTTCAGTTGTGGTTGGGAGATTGTGTAGGTTGCTTCTGGTGCAGCTTGTGAGATGCTTCACTTCAATTGTAGGAGTTTTCTGCCATTTTGAACGTTGGGATTTAGTGTAGTGAAGAAGGGAAGACATTCTGGGAACCTAAGTTTTCCCTGTTGTTAATGAATTATATTTCAGAAGCATGAAGTTTACTTACTGCAAAGACAAGAAGTGGCAAGTGACTGGTAGAAATCCTGGGTTTTGGGGGGAATCTTTTGATAGCTGAGCAGTTGATCAGATGGAAACTCTTGGAGCTACTTAATTATCCTTGCCATTTTCAACATAGGTGTTTTGCTTCTGCTGCATTGTTAATGCCTCTTGTGATCCATACTATGTTAGGAAAATGCAACTAATTTCATTATTTTCCTTCAATGTAGCTACTTGCACTCTTTTCAGATGAAGTAATGGAAGGTGCCTTTGATACAGTAGCTGTTTGGTTGAAGGGCTTGGAAGTGAATGATATGTTCTTCACTTGGAAGTACCAAAAAAAAAAAAGTTTTTTTTTTTATAGGAATATTTTCTTTCAGATTAAACTAATTCAGTCAAATATGAGCAGTATAATCTCAGCTGAAAAAAACTGTTTTTCTGGGATAGTTTTGGGGTTTGGTGGGGGTTTTTTTTGTATCATTTAAAGTGTGTTTAAGCTATTAGTGCATTTTCCTCATCTAATGTTAACAAAATGATTTGTCAAACTCTGAAGTTTCTGGTATCTCCTTTAGCTGGTGTTCCATAGCGTGCTGTCTTGTGAAATGATGCAGGGCATTGTCTCCCTGTTGCAATTAATAACTGACCCATAGAGGTTCAGTCTTCTGGACAGTCACAAAGGATTTTATCAGTACTGAAACATCTTGCACGCTGATTGGCATACATATAGTTTGATTTTTCTGTGTGTTTTGTCATATTTTTTTCAAAATTTTATAGCTTTTCATCTAAATTGGGAACCCTTAGTTTCAGCACATTGCTCCTTGGTAATTGATATCTTCTTTTGCATGTTGAAAAGGTATCAGTTTCTGGAAGAAGCTTTTCAGAACCAGAAGGGTGCAATTGAGAACCTATTGGCCAAACTTCTTGAGAAGAAGAATTATGTAAATTTTGCAGCTGCCCAGGTTCAGAATAGGTAAGTACCCCAAAATGATTAACTGTTACTATTACATTGCCTTTTAATGAATCACAGTAAGATGGATGATGGGACTAGAATAATACTTACATTTTAGTTGATTCTGTATCTTTAGTTGTATTGGACTTAATTGCTTACGTAATGTTTTCTTCCCTACGATACTGTGCATCTGTTGGAAGTTGTTACAAGAAGCAGATGTCAAAGATGATGTCTTTTATGGCAACTTTGAGTAGAACCAAAGATGTGACACATTTATTATGCTTGGGGGAGGGGAAAAGAAAAAAGGAATAAAAAAGGCAAGGCAAAGGCAAACCTGTCTTATGGTTTCTGTTAAGTTCAGCTCTAGGTGACAGAAGTGTTGGCTGTAGAGATAAACATTTTTTTCCTGAAATATTTTTATGTTTCATATGAATGCCTCTAATAACTGTGTAACAAAAACTTGTTTTGAAATTGAATAGGAAGTGGTGTGCATTTTTTTTTTTAAATTAAGCAAAACTTAGTGTAATTACTTGAAAGGAAGACAAGCTTTTCTTTAGGTAGTTTAACTTAAGAATGCCAGGGTTAGCCTAAATTCAACGTCATATATAATATTAAATATAGAGACAGGGCACATGATAGCTGCTGGCTTTTCACCCAGTTGTGGTGATGTGGTGTGCTGGAGGTCAGGGAATTCCACTGTGACTCGTGGTGGTTTTGTGAGCCTTCTACAACTTTTAAGTCATTTGCAGAATGACAGATCATCTGGAGATGGGAAGTACAAGGGTAGAAGGAAGTGTACCAAAGACATAAGGAGAAGTTCTGGTGCAAATTTTTAACTCCTAGTGGTACCATGTACATTTTTTAAAAGAAAAGAAAAGTTGTAAGGGAAGGAGAACATACAGCATGACAGAGGCAAATGTGTGAAGATGGAAGCAATGAAAATGGAAATTTTTATGTGATGATTCGGCATGGAACTCTCTGAAGGGATCCAAAAGATAACACCATTGTGAAGCAGGGGGGCAAGCTGTAGAACTGTCACATGCTTGAAGAAGAGACAGAAACCCAGTTACATGGGAAATAATTAAACTGAAAGCTCAAGAAACGTCACACAATGTTTTCTGATAGGAATTTGAGGCCAGTAATGGGTGGTGCGTATATGAGTAACACATTGTAATTTTTTTTGCCTAAGAGTTTCTGGCTTCACTGAAAGTTCAGTGAATTTCTGCAGCATGTGATTGGGTTGTGTAAAGATCATGATTATCTGCTGAGCCAAGTAGGTAGTGCGAGACACTAGTTTACTTCGACATGCCATTCGGTTACTTTGTTGAAGTCTAGGGCACAAAATCTACTATAAAAACTTCAGGGAATGAAAAAAAATATATATTATAATAATGTTGTCAGTGTTAGCGGATGATATGAAATTGCCATCGTATGTAATCATGGAACGTAAAACAGTGTTGAAGGAATAGCTGCCTACTGGAATAATTGTTAGCTGCCAAAGCCAAGGATGGATGCCTACTGACTTAATGAAGGGTTGGTTGAATGTTTTTTGGAGTGGAAGACCAGGTTGTGCTGTCACGAAAAACCACACGTGTCTGAGGTGCCTAAAAAGGGCATTTGACACCAACAACGAAGATCATCACCAGGCAGATGAGTGGTCTTGTGATCATATCAGGATGAATGACAAGTTCAGATGCTTGATCTAGTAGCGAAGAAGCCCGCTAAAAAAGGACAGTTTAAGGCTTCATGCTCAGACTGGCTCATGGCAAGATATTGTGCTCTGACTCCTACAAGCGAAGTAAAGAATCCTGCTGCAATGCTATGTTGTCACTAGATTAAGGCAGCATAGGATCAAACAAATCCAGAATTTACAATGGAGTTTAAGAAATGCTGTATTTCAAATTCTGTGGACAGAGCTCAAGATGATTTGCTTGAGTCTGAAGAATTGAGAATAGTGAAGACACTAAACCTGAGGAAGAATGACAATGATGGAAATGATGAAGAGGTATGAGGTATAAAAAACTGAAAGGCAGTGATAGTAAAGCTCAAGAGAATAATGTAGACTAGTGTCAGGCAAATCATTAGTGAAACGTTTATATTCTTATTGTGTATTGATTACAGTTATGTAATAACCTTTTTGTTACAAGATTTTTTGGGGGAGGTGGAGGGGTCCATCTGAAATTCAGGGTTGACCTCCTTTCTGGTTAATATACAATAGCATAAAAGTTTAAGGTATCATACATAAATTCTTCATAGTGAAAGAGACATGATATGGAGTAAATACATATGCACACATACACACACATGTGGTCTCGGCTGGGTATGTCTGCGTGTGTGTAAACGTGTATAAACTACAAGGACTGTTTCATGTTATTTTAAGTAAAACACAAGTTGTTAATTGAGATACCATCTTGATCTCGGGCTATTTAAATTTTTTTCCAAAACTGAAATTTTAGATGGCTTCTTTGAAAAAGTTGATTAATGATGATATCTCTGTTAGAAATCAAACAAGCTATAAATTTTGCACTGTATTGAAGGATTTGCACTACTTCAATACAGAAATTGCTCGTTCAGTCTTCAAGGGTGGGAAGATGCCCGTGGTATTTAGTATTTGGCAGCATAGTATAAAGTGACTGCCTGACAATACATTTTTCTTTTTTTAGGATAAAAGAAGTAAATGAAACTAACAAACGAGTAGAACAGGAAATCAAAGTGGCTATATTCACCCTCATCAATGAAATCAATAAAAAGGGAAAATCTCTCTTACAGCACCTTGAGGTACAGTTAAGAGAAAAAATAAGTGTTGTTCACTGTTTCCAGTTCTCTATTGAGAACTCACATTCCAAGTTTGAAAACAGTTTGTTTGGTGTGACTGTGCAGGTGTTGCGATACTGATATTTCCTATTAATAGTGCGTTGGAGTTAAATCTGTTGTTTATCCTTTCACTAGCTGGAGCCTGTGGCTCCTTTAGTTTTATGTTTATGCCTCAGATTAATTCAAAAACAGGCTCCTCATCATAAAGGAGTCTCTGAAAATCTCCTTTCCATGTTCTGTTTCCCGTATTTCTATATTATAACATAATTCTAAGATGTTTAAGGTTCATGACTTGAGTCATAGCACTGTTACGGTTGAGTTGCTGCTTTTTGTCTTCTCCTCTTACATTGTCTAGAAGTTTTTCTTCAGAGTGTGAACTCCTAGAGACAGGTCTGTGTACATTGTCTTGAGCACGTAACAAGTAAATGCAATGTGGTTAATGCAACTGTACATCGTTCTTTGCTCTGACGGTTGTGCTAGATTGTTGTTAAAATCAGTTTCCCTCCTGCTTGTATAGGGTGATGGCAGCAGGGGAAGGGAGCAGGGAAGTGGACAGGCTAGTATTAATTTTCACTCCTAGCGTCACGTTGACTGCTTTGCTGCTAAGACAGTGGCGGGTCCTAATGGCGGTTGTTAGTATTTATTTCCTTAGTAATTTTCACAACTTGGTGTTGACTTCTCACAAATCCTGACACTTGAAGCTCACCTAGGTTTTCAAAAACATGGTGGTCTTACGTATTTGTACGTGAAGGTGTAATGCTGGTATTTAAAAGTTACATAGATTGGCATCATAAAGGAGGCAATGACTTCAGACATACTTTCCGGCTAGCCCATTCTGAATAATAATTATATTCTGACTTTTACTCAAATCTGTGAAAATGTAATTTATTATTACTTTTTTTTATCTGAAGAGACGAAATCTATCATAATAACTTAGTTCGCAGCATATTGCCAGTCTGCCATGATGTGACTGAAAAATTTAAGATCAGGTTAATTACAATAGATTTCTTCTGGTTAAGGAACAGTTATTTGGCAATGAAATGGAGTACTCCTGGAAGAAGAGAGTATTTGATCAGGAGTGAAACAAATAATTTAAAATTACATGAGTAACTGAATTTTGGCTTTTCTTGTTACAAGCTAGAAAAATTCCATTGGAAACTTTCCTTTTTTTGTGAGGTTGTAACAGTTGCCCAATCGCGTATTGCTAAATTTGAATCCTGAAGATTTGGTACAGCAACCCAGATTTTTAGCACAAAGTTTGCAGCTGGCAGGTTATCAAAGGCTGAAGACTCGTCAGAGATAGGGCTGCTGAGTTCACCTGCCGCACTCGGGAGGTGTTTAGGGGCAGTTTCTGGTTGGCGTAGGAGCTGGTGCTCGGAGCATCTGGGCCGCTGCTGTTGCTGTCTCTGCGCTGGCGGGTGCCGGGAAGCCCGG